CTATGGGCCGAGGCGGCGTCGGGCTCGAACAGCACGCCGGATAGACAGCAGGTTGTTCGGATGGGTTTCTTCGGGCCTGACCACTTGTTTGACCTACGTTACAAGAAGTGGTAATTTCGCATTCACGGCATTCGTTAGGGCGCAGGCGGGTAGGTCTGATGCTGAAATCGTCTTCCCGCTGTTCAGCGGCCGCGTGTGAGCTGTACCGTTCAGCGCCTCGCCAGGGGGCCCGCAGCGCCGACAGGAGCGCAATTAATACCGTTTTTTGTCCGTTCGGCGTCCGCGTTCCCCGCTGAAGCTGCCTTCGTTGCGCAGAAGCCGCCGCGCTTCATGTAGCTCACCCTTCCTATTTGACCCTATCTAACCCTTTTAAAACCGTGGGTGGCCACTTCAGGGGAGTCTTGTGGCTGTGGCAGGGCCAGGGGCTCCTCCAGGGCCCATGTCAGCGCCGCCGTCGTCCAATCGCCACAAGCGGTCTGCTTCGATTGACGTGTCCTCCCTGATTGCGACGCGGGACGGCATAGGGCCCGCGAAGGACTACCTGGCGCCAGCGGCCTCACAGTCGCTGGCGGCTGCCAGCCATGCGCCTCAGGGCCACCTGTCGCCGGAACGTCGGTCGCCCCTGGCGCGAGATGGCGGCACTGGCACCGGCACTGGCACTGGCAATTTCATAATGGGACATAAGACCGCACCGCCGGCGTTGGAGGCCTTGCGCCAGAATCACCCCGGCATGTCGTTGGCCCAAGCGGTGAGAGACTACGGTGTGGTGGATGGATGTCGTTCATGAGAGGAAAGATGACTTTCAACCCCCCGAAATTGAAAACTAAGGAATAGTCAAGGAGTCGAGCGTGTGGTGGCAGGGTGTGGCATTGCTAAAATGTTATTGCGCTCTGTGTTACCACAAAAGCTGGGGGATTGAGGAATATTCCCGCGTTTCAATTCCGACGTGGCTGCCTTCCTTCTGCGTGGTAAGGAATATTTGACATCAGGTAACCTGCATGCACCTGCATGCAACGGTAGCGGAGAAGAACGGTGTCCCCCGTCCTCGGACACAGGGCTGGGGGTTCATCGCTTAGATGTGTTTCGCATGGCCTTCCCTCACGCCCTGCCCTGTCTTCTTCTAATGCACGCTTCCTATTAACATGCCGACTGTCATGTCTTAGGCTTTGGCGGAGTTTGAGGAGGAGGTGTTGGAAGAGGGGTATGATGAGGACGACGAGGAGCCTGAAGACGACGAGGATGGCGACGGGGGGGAGATGGAGCCGGCCGTGGACGAGTCGTTGAATTCCGCAGCCGGCATTGATAGGCTGGGCTCCGTCATCTTGTCTGTGGCGCTGCCGCTGGCGGCGCAGGGCTCCCTGCATCGGCAGATGTACGTGTCACAGCAGCAGCGGCCGCCGCTGACGATGACGCCCACGCAGCCCCAGCAGCCCCAGCAGCCCCAGCAGCAGGCACCAGCGGCGGGCTGCAGTCCTCCAAACCACATTGGCCATGTCCCATACGAGGTGAGCTAAAGCACTGCGCGACGGTTACCTTCTCTCGTTGCCTCACTAGCTGTC